AAAAAAAGAACATGCAAAATTCATAGAAGCCAAAAGGAGAGTCATGGTTGCCAGTGCTGGAGGTGGGGAGAATAGGGAGTGACTGCTAACGGTATGAGGTTCCTTTCTGGGTGAGGAAAGTGCACTGGAGATTAGACAGTGGCAGTGGTTGCACAGCCCTGTGGATACACCAGCACCAGTGAGTCGAACACTGTGATGACGGAATGCCGTTTCTTAGATGGGTGTTGAGAACCCGAGGTGGCAGACCTACAGCCTCTACTCCTCTTTCTACATCAACATCTGGGGCTTTCCCTTCTTCTGCTTCCCAAAGCATCTCCACTCCCAGTTTAATTATGACCATTCCCTAAAGGGCTGCCAACAGGTTTCTTTTCAAAGCAGCTCTGTAGGGTTTGCACTGCTCCTCCCTCTCATACCCAACCCCTAGACCGTTTACTTATTAAACCAATTAAATTAAATGACTCACATTTGCACCCTTGGGCATGAAGCGGGTAAACAGCTCACAAAAGAGTCACTTGCACTTGAAAGGGCCGGTTTCCCTCCCAGCCCAGCCAACTCCCCTTACCAGTCCCCCAGCACCCCCTATCCCCAGAGTGTTTCTCACATCACAGTAGGAAGAGGATCAGGGGGAGCTGCTAGCCCTTCCCAAAATGCTTCCTCACCCCCAAGGAAGGCCACACCAACCCCTCAAAAAGGTGACACAATAGCATTCTTATTCCACTGCTTACAAGGCCAGCAGGCAGCTAGGTATCTGGAGCCCGCTTGCCCGCCCTTTGCGGCCATATCTTACCCCTACAGCAGTACCAGCACCATTTCTCTGGGTGCCCCATTCCTGTCAACACCTGCTTTGAGCTGGATGCTCTGGAGATACCATGCAGTTAACTAGGTTAGGCAACCTGGACCCATTGCTCATCTTGCCCGAAAAGGAAAGGAAATGATCCCAATTATTACTCCAGGCTCTAAGACCTGTGAGTTTTCAGTTCAATAAATGTGGACTGAACTCACTCAGCCCTGGAAGGGAACAAAGGTATGCCAAACAAGGACTCAAGGAGGACACAGTGGGTCTTGTAGTGGCGAGTGGATAATTTCAGTCAAATGCAGGAAGGGATGAAACTGGGGTACATGTGGAATAGAGGTGTCCTGGTCTCCTCTCCCTGCTCCCACCGCACACAGCACACTTCTCTGCCCTGCTGAGCAGGGCACTGGGTGGGGACACATATTAACAAGGCTGGCAGGATCGTCCCTAGGCCACACTTAGAATAACCCAGCTCTGCTCTCCAAACACCACCTCAGAGTCATCCCTCCTAACAGTCTGGAATCCAGGAGGAAGTGTGATTTGAGTCAGATCCTGTCCTGGAGTGGAACCACATCCTCTTGCCACCCTCTACACAGGCATTTCCGCCTTTGTGTATTTATAAGACTGTCTTAAACTAGGCACCAGCAAATAGGAGCAGAGACCTGATTTAGGTCAACGAAATCAGCACTTGGGAGAGTAAAGACACCCTGAGAGCAAGTTGCTATTTTTTCTCCTATTCCATATCCGAGTTTCAGTATCATTTAAATTCCCCAGAAAGCCTCCCTCTCTCCCTATTCAGTGTCACTTCCCAAGTTTCTCCTGCCCTGGAAATCTCCCATTCTCCTGTCCTCTCCAAGTGGATGAGTTTTGTTTTTTTTTTTTTTTTTTTTNTTTTTGAGACTGAGTCTCGCTCTGTCACTCAGGCTGGAGTGAGTGCAGTGGCGCAATCTCGGCTCACTGCAACCTCTGCCTCCTGGGTTCAAGAGATTCTTCTGCCTCAGCCTCCTGTGGAGTAGCTGGGACTACAGGCGCTTGCCATCACGCCTGGCTAATTTTTGTATTTTTAGTAGAGCCGGGGTTTTACCATATTGGCCAGGCTAGTCGCAAACTCCTGACCTCCTGATCTACCCACGTCAGCCTCCCAAAGCGCTGGAATTACAGGTGTGAGCCACCACACCTGGCCCCGAGGCGGCTTTCTAATGTTCATTTGTGATTAAGCAGTTGCATTTTGCAAGGCACTTCTCAGCTGTTAACAAGCCCATCCATCCCCTCCTAGGAGGCATCTGAGTTCCCAAAGCAGGTTAGGGGCAGGGCAAAGATACAGCAGAAGGTGAGTAGGTGCAGGTATGAAGCTATCCTCTGCCCCTATCTGCCTCAGACACGCTGTCCATCATCTTTGAAGTGTTGGATGACAGGCAGTGATGGGGAAAGCAGTGTTGTCTGAGTGCGTCTATTATAGATACCTGCTAGGTAAGAAAAACCAGTAGAGTACGTCTCCACCTCTCATAAGTGGGGCACCTTCACAGCAAGGCATTTAAAGGTGTGTGCTTCTGCCCAGGCATGGGTCACATGCTGTCCTGCCAACCTCACAAGGCTGCCCTGGCTCCCTGCCTCCTTACTGAAAAAGATTGCGTATCGAAGGCCTGCTGGGTCCCTTTGTGGCATGAGACAAAGAGGGTTGTCTAGTTCCCCCTTACTTTGGCTGAAGTCCTAAGTCTGGGAGGGTCAGTCCTCAAAGCAGTATGTTTGTAATCTCTGCTTGGGCAAGAACAGCCTGGAGCTTTGCTGGAAGGGCCTGTGCAAATGAGAAGTCAGAGGGAAAAGGCCATGGCTGAAGTCTGGGAGTTTGGGATAGTGGCAAATATTTAAGTGAGGGGAATAAGGCCAGTCAGAGGCTGTGCCCAATTCCGGGGGACATCTGCAGAGGAGCAAACCTCTGGTGTAATTGAAACATAACAAAGTTGTTTTATCGCTTAAGACCAGGAGTTTGAGGCCAGCCTGGGCAACACAGTAAGACCCTGTTTCTATAACAAATTTTTAAAAATTAGCCAGGTATGGCGGTGCAGACCTGTAGTCCCAGCTACTCGAAAGGCTGAAGTGGGAAGATCGCTTGAGCCTGGGAGTTCAAAGTTGCAGTGAGCCATAATTGCATCACTGCATTCCAGCCTGAGTGATGGAGCAAGACTCTATCTAAAAAAACAAAGAAAGTTTTTTCAAATTAGGTACTGGCCCTTCTGAGGTAATGGAGACACTGTGAGGATCTGGAAGCTTTCTCTTCATTAACGATTATGAATTGGATGTACCCCTAGGGACAGCTCTGGGCTGGCGGGGCCAGGGGAAAAGGCAGTAAGAGAAGACACTCGCCTCCACTGGCTGTGGGACCTTGGGCCAAGTCACTTTTAATATCTCTTCCGGTTATAATGAATGATGATCAGAAATTTCTTTCAAGGTTAACATCAGCGCTCTACTCAAGCACTCCTGACAGGTGTCCGCCAAGCTACTACTGGATTTCCAGGGACAGGAATGTTCCGCATGCCACAGCCGTCGGCCCCACGGCTGGATGGTCCATATTGCTGCCAAGTGCTTTTTTTCTGTAGGACCTCCTAGAATAAGCCCTACCCTTTTATGAGAAAATACTTCAACCACATATGCAAACTCTTGCATACAGACACAGAGCCACTCGGTGTAGGGTGTGGGGTGAGGGATGTGGGGTGAGGGCGTGGGGTAAAGGGTCGCCACAACAGCAGTGCCCCAGGCCACATGTTTCCTTTCCTCCGAGCTCTGTCAGTTCATTTACATCCATGTTCTCTGCTTTCACAGTGTCCAAATTCTAAGACAGCGGAAGCATCTGTCTAATCCACCAGACAGCACCCAGGTCCAGTGACACTTCCAGACAGGGCTCTGTGCCAAGGGCAGTGTAAAATGATGGGGTAGAGCCACTCAACAGAACACTGTGGTGAGTTAAACGGGTGTGGAAGGCCTCACACACTAACCCAGAAAGGTGTTCAAAACATATAGTTACGTGAAAAAAGGTTGCCATATATACTGCAAAAGTGACGCTATCCAAAAAAAACTTAACACTGTCATGGCCAGTAGGAACTTAGGGAGACACGATAACTTTAGATATCCTGGCACAGAAAAAGTCTCTCTAAAAGGAATTCAGGATACAATATGAACTTGAGCTACGTCTGATATTGATTCATTAATCACAACAAATGTACCGGGGCTAATGCATGATGCTAATAATAGAGGAAGCTGGGTGTGAGTTAAGTGAGAGCTCTCCAGACTACCTTCGCAATGTTGGGCAAACGTAAAACTATTCTGAAACTAAAACTTCTTTTTAAAATGCACTTATGTCTGTAAGTATAGGGGCTTCTATGTGTATGTGTATAGGTATCACAGAGGCATAGAAAACATTTAGAAGGCATATTAAATTTTTTATGGTATTCTGGGAAAGCACCTTTTAATATTACGTGCCTTTGAATTTTAAAAAATAGAAATAAAAACATTTTTAAATAGAAAAAAGAGGCCGGGCATGGTGGCTCACATCTGTAATCCAAGCACTTTGGAGGCCAAGGCGGGTGGATCACCTGAGGTCGGGAGTTCAAGACCAGCCTGACAAACATGGTGAGACCCCGTCTTTATGTAAAAAAATAATAATAATAATTTTTTTAAAAAGTAGAAAAAAGAGACGAAAATGAAAATACATGACACTAGAGGAAAGGGTAAAAGAAAAAAAGAAAAAGAAAAAAGAAAATGAAAATATAGGAAGATGACAATTTTTAAATTCTGCCATATTTTATTGTTCCTGTAATTGAAAGAGCAGTGGGGTAGGAGTCAGGAGATCAAGGTTTTGGTGTTTGTTCTTTCACTTCTTTGTGATCCCAGTGACCTCCTGATCCTTGGTTTTCTTAGTTATAAAATGATGACATTTAGGGACCATTGTAAGTGTTACACTCTATGATTTGATAATAAACACACACGAATGAAAGAACTATTTTCCTGTTGCTAGCAGATCCATCATGGATGCCTGAAATAATAAAGCCCTCCTAATGAATTTAAAATATTTCAGTGCCTAAAGAAAAAAAAAATCTGAACTGCATAGAATGTTTCAGGGATATATCTATAGGGATACTGTACCCGTGCTGTTTTAGAGGTTAAAAAATGAGAGTGACAAATTGGGTTAAATCTGATTTATAAGAAGAGTATTAACTGATGCTTAACTGGCTCAGATCTATGCAAATGAAAGAAGACAAAAAAAGATGGATGGAGCTGCAAATGGCAACCCTCCCACTTGTGGCTGATCTAAGGCTCTTCATGGGAGAGAGTTTAAAATCCTTGGCGGGCTCCACAGAGCTTTGTCTCCAGCTCCTCAGCCTCCTCCCCCAACTCATATCAACCCCAGATGCAGGATAATTTGAGAGGCAGACCTATTCAGACCCCTATCTCTCTGCAGATAGCAATCCTGGGCCCCAGTAACGCGAAACAAGGGTCTTCAGGACACTCTTCCCCATGACAATGAAGTGTGGCAGGGAGACAATGCCTCATGCAGTGGGAAGTTTCTGAAAACAGACAGGAAAGCGTGAGAAAGGCCAGAAACTGCAAAAGCCAAACCCAAGGATAGGACAAATTTTCCTGCAGGCAAATCTCAGCAAGCGCCATTGTTGACTTCTGGTTTTTCCAAAGCAATTCTCCAATCCAAGAAGGATCAGGATTCAGATGGCTGTGTAGACGGCCCTTCCTTTCCCCACTGGGCTTAGGGAGTCCGGGGTTGGAGGCAGCAGTGGGAACAGAGGAAAGGGGGCTCTTGTAAGAGACACTGATGCTACTGTCAGTTCTCTGGGTGAGGCCGGCCTGGTGGTCACTGTCCCTCTGTTCTTTCACCAAATGTTAGTTAATTCTAGGAGGAGAGTGAAGCCCCAAGTTGTCTCAAAACAGAGCTACCAAATAACTAATTAATTCACTCATTACATAGCATAGAACATCTGTTAAAACCTGCAGTGAGGCTGGGTGTGGTGGCTCCGCCCGGCCAAGAGCTGGGGTTGGGGGGATTGGCAGGTAGGGAGGAGGCTCAATTGTTTCTTCCTTCCTTCCTTCCTTCCTTCCTTCCTTCCTTCCTTCCTTCCTTCCTTC